TACCCATGTATGCATGCAGCATCACGGCCGCTTCATACCAATCCCTTCGCTTCATAATTTGCTTAGCAAATGAATGAATACGAGCGTCAGGAACGGTCGTCCATTTGTGGGCGGGCGGGCGTGGCGGGCGTTTGGGACGTAAAGTTGTGGCTTGATAGGGCCCTTATAAGGGCACCTTCCTCGGGAAACCGCTATGCAGCGCCTGCCCAGGGTCGCGGAATTCTATCCTGCCAGGAGTATTGATCCTAGTCGTCTTGTTATCGTGCCAACTGCCTTTAAACATGAACTAACAAAAGGAACTAGCGAAAGCACAAAATGCCCCTTCCGAGCTAAACAGCACCTAGATCACATTTAAAAACACATTTCAGTATTTGACCGTCAGCAAGGAGATGTACTACTTGTTCGAGAGGATTCATAAGGAGTTCAGTGAGTTGGTCGATACACTGGTGGAGTGTTTTTGTGCCGACACGAATATTCCAATGGAAACACTTCGCGAAGCTTTGAAAAGCGCCGAACCTGATAAACTCACCATCAGACAGAGGGTACGTTTGTTGTGTCCTTTTTCTTGGACTTGTTTTATGCTAGGCGAACAGCAACCGCTGGTTATGGAAAGTCATCAGGGGCAAACACTGCGCATCCAGGGTAGACGGAGAATACATGGCAGAAAATGTCATGTGGTTCACCAACGGCCCACCTCCGGGGACTTACGCGCCATTTTTTTGGGAACTGGAGGGATTTCGCGGTCCAGTGGAGGATCACTGCCCTGGCCCTAGGTCATTGTAGGAGCAGGGTACAGTATCGTTGGGTGAAACACATAGATGGGTTGTACTTTTCCGCTAGGCAGGGGGGTCATGTGCCTTTGAGAGAAACTTTGCGGCGTTGAGAAAAATTTTATCCGGTTGTTGACTTTTCGCGGGTTTTTTCCATTTCATGTGTACTATATACCCCCTCCCCCCTCAAAATTCTTGGTGAAAAGGAGGGAAATTCCGGATAAAGTGGTAGAAAGTTGGTAGGAAAATTGGGGAGAATCTCAGGGTTTTTCCTTTTCAATTGGTATACACCCTTCCCCCTCGGATAGAAAATCCTGTAGGTGAAAAACTTGAAAAACTGCGGGAATTGAGTCGGTTAGTAGGTGCTGGGGGAAAGGCGAACGAGGTCGTACCTACATCCATTCCACACTCACAATGCTGTTACTGTACAGCATAGTTTGATGTGTGAATGGAGCTGTCGGAGTCCTTCCACATCACGTTTGACAGACTTGCGTTCAATGGCACGCGCCATGCGGATCAGTAAATATGGTGAAACGTATACCACCAGCACCGAATGCGGTAGCACAGAAATTTAAAGAAAAAAAACTTAGAACGTGGGAAACTGAAACAAGCGTGCTCGGAATCGTAGCGGCAGTTCCTCAGATGCAAAATCTTTAGTTTCTTTGCTTGCGTTAGGCTTCTCCTCTCTACAGATTCCTTTCTCATTTGATACCAATTCGATCCTCAGACAGCGTCAGGCCAGCAAGTGAGAGAATTAAGTTGGTGGACTCGTAACTTTTTTGCGGCTTTCTAAGTGCTTCTGTTGATAGACAGTTATGGAGCATAGCTGCTGCTAAAAGACTTTAACGTATTCGTACCAATGATGATGAGCGGAAGAAATGTTGGCAACTGCCAGCTGCAGTGGACTCCAGATGATCGAGGTAGGTGTGCCTACATTACCGGTTTCCAGACTAGGAGGCCTTAACACGATCTTCTTTCAGTTTATGTGTGGTTTGCTCCCATCTGTATTACAAATCGAAGATGGTGAAACTTTGAAGAATAAAGCAAAAGTGATCTCACCAGAGGAAACGGAACGATACGTCCTCATTGCGGTGATGAGGTAGTGCCTTGTATTGACTGGATTATCGTAGAAAATGGGGAGCTCAAATTGCTAAAAATGAGTGGAGATTTCATATGATGTCTCCAGGCCCGCTTTCTTTCCCCTACCTGTCTCGAATTTTTTTCACTAAGGTATAGTGGTGATCCATGGAAACGATCGGGCGTTTGACGCGGCGCGGTTGGGAGCGCAGCCAGGGCGGCCTTGTTCCAACAATCATGTAATCCTGAGTCCGCTACAATTGGCGGAAAATCTGATCTGGCTGCGCTCCAAGCTACTCCGCCGCCCTGCACTATATCGTTTTCAGGGGTAACAAATTCGGATGGCTTCATGCAGCCTTTTAATAAAAAATTCTTGTCGTTTTTGACTCTCTGAAAAACATCCAGTCCGGGTGGAACGTAAGTTTACAGACCCAGGAATTCTATTTATCAACCTCGTTTGGTGAACAAAACAAGACAGAGTTTGAGAGTTAAAGCGGTTTTCAGAAAAAAAAACAGATTTGCAGGCAAAGCAAAGAAGAGTTTGATAATCTCACCAAAAGTGAAATGGAAGAATTAGAAGACGTACTGAGAAGCAGCGAAGAGGAGAGAAGGCGGTTGGAAATGCAACGTGGAAAAGAAGAGGAACTTTTCAGCCGTGCTCTAGCTGCTAGAAAAGAGGTGAATTATATCTCGTTATGAAGTGACTTTTCACAATTTCAACATTGAAATTTCTTCACTGAATTCTCGATATTTCATCTAAAAGCAGGCGCCATATGTGCAGGGGCGGAGCAATACGGAACGGACCTTAGGTATCCACTGATCAGCGCTCTAGATTCATCCGGGGTCGCTCAGCTTTTACAAGATCACACCTATGAGCAGTGCTCACACCTGTAAGCAGGGTCCACCATTGCTCCTCAGTCAGTGGCTTCGTCTCTTTATTGTTCATTGTCATCTGAAGGAGGGTGCACCATAGGCACAATGGCAGGCCCTACTCCGCCCACACTATGAGCGAAGATGAAAGTCAAGAACTCATGATTTCGTGTTAAAGTTCCAAAGATA